TCTTGGTTTCGTCAGGTGCCAAAATGTTATCTGTCAAACGCTGTCTTACACATCTTTCAGCAGCGGTGCTACAATTTCACTCTGACTAAAACTGGCCAAAAAAGTGATTTTACTGGTCACTGTGAGCTGGGTAACCACATTAGCCCAAATCACGCTTCGGCACACACAACGTGGAGTGTTTCAAAATGACTTTCCTCAGTTTTATGCATCCGGCATTGCGACTGGACACACCAGTAAACCGAGGGATCCAGCGTCCCAATAGGTAAAGTGGTCCAGCAAAACATTGCGGAGCGGCGTGTGTTCAAGTTGAGTCGAGGAAGTCAAAATGACGTCGTCCATGATGTTTTCAAAGAGGCAAGCAGCACAAGCCACAGTCAATCGCATGAGGCAGACTTGAAGCCGGCTTAACTCATCAAGTGTCCTTGTCGCTCTAACCAAGACAAGGTATGACGTTCTACATCACGCTGGCAGACTTGAAACTGCGCAAGGTCAGCACTCAAAGCACCCCCGTACGGGACATTCGACACCATTTGTCCGGTCTGTCAAGCCTATTCAGAACCAGCCGGGCCACGCGCTGTTTCAGTCCCTTAAAGTGTCCGCAAAACAGGACTGAACGCGATGGTTTCTATCAGGTGATCCCTTGTCAAGACAGGTCTGGCCCAGATATTCTTGGTGTTTATCGGAAAGACGATCACAAAGGTTCGCTGGCATGGTGTATAGAACGGTATTGGTGAAAACTGATGCATTCAGAAAGGTGTGTACTGGCACCGAGATAATACATAAAAGTAACAAAACGCTTAAACCAATGCATTAAGTTAGTATCCATGCGTTTTGCATCTTTGATGTTTACTTTTAAGACGTTACCGCTTTATTTTATAGCTTTATCTTTTCGGAACAAGCACCATCAGACGCAAGTGGTTTATGTTACTATATGTAGCTTGATAACCCTAACCCCACCCCGTTTCAAAACACCTAGCGTGCGTTGTGGTTACGAACGGTATGACAGGCCGCGGCGGTGTGGACTCTAGCGGCTTCAACCACTAATCAACGCGGATACAAATAAATATCAGATGACAATGGCCCGTAGAATAGGTAGCCATCGTGCTAGGCTTGCTCGAAGACTTGGGCAACAGTAATGCGAGGAAGTGCAGTGCTTACACACATGACCGCGCTTGTCTGCGTTTACCAGCAGATTGTGTCTGTAATGGCTGGGATATTGATGCTAATCAGACACGGTCGTCTGACAGTTCTGGTGGTCACTTATGGCCAAGGAGGCAAGCTTTTGGTACAGCGCGTGCTTCGAGGCATCTCCGGATTACATAAATAATAATGTTGTCTGGACATTATGTTTCCGGTCCTTTGGACAAGTCTATTGCATGACGGCATATGCAGCGACAAAAGACGCACAAACCAAGCAACTGGTGCAATGAATCACTGCACTTTCGTATGAACCTTTACCAGTCTTAAAATGTCAGGGCCATGCATTCGATCAAACAGTATTGGTAAATACCAGATATATCGTTGCATGGAAATTGTCATTGGAAACAGACAGCTTAAAACACTCCCAAGACCCGCGGCCAAAGCTTTTGTGAGCAGTCATGAAGCGTACATGACTCATCACAAAGTCATGCAACCGAATATCCGGCGCTCGCCACACCAAACAGCCCTTAAAGTTCGGGTTTTGAAAAGTGAGTGTAACACCATCTGGACCGATAGCCATGACTCTCACGAATACATCCGTATTTCCCGACAGTGGGAGAATTGTTTGAGAAGTTTTGCTGCTAGAGTTCGGATCTGTATGACTGGGTGTTGCGATTTCGCCACGCACCTTGGCTACCCCTACACCCAGCGTGAGAGCTGGTGCCTGTGTGCACTTGAAACGTGACCCATGGTGGAAAAATACTCAATCAACCTTAATCAGTTCTTGACACGCACAATTTTTGCGAAAATAGTGCGTTCGCATTGCACGTGGATTTAAGTGGCTTCAGCACCCAACAGCATTCGTGCCTGCGAGCGTGCATGTCGCAAACGACGAGGGATTTCTGCTGCGGTTGCTGTCGCCCTCAGAGGCGACGTTTGCCAACGGAGAAAGGGGAGCGCGTAAATGAGACAATCTGAGATTCTTCAGACGAGAAACGACGAAAACTCCCGTGGCAGCAAACACGCAGCCACTTTTACTAATTAAGAGGAGCAATCAGAGAGTCGGACGAAAAATCAGTGGCGTGGTGGCGAACGTCGGGGAGATGGTTTCGGGGCTCGCCTCCGCGTGGAATTTTAAACGCGCCTGTACAAACTGCTAAAACCCTCATCAATCATTTCTCAGCTGGAAACAGCAAACGCTGCGAGATGCCCATCTGACAACTCATTTTGATCGAGTGACAAAACTTCCCGACGCTGCGCGGGTGGCGAAGAGGTGAATGTTTTCTAGAACAACGCTTCCAGTGGTTAGATTTTAGTTTTGCTGTGTTGGTGCCTTACCGTCGTTAGCTGACGAATTGATCAATTGCTGATACCGTAAAATCCGGTATTTATCACCGTGTGCAAAATAGAGTTTGCCACGCCAGACGCAGATCCGGATTTCAAAAGATTACAGATGTGCTTTTTCTTTGAATGACGTCGACACCCCAGATAGTCAATGGTAGGCTTTGAGAACAACAGCAACGAGGCTTCGGGCGATCGTTTCTAGGACAACGTTCGCGACATTATCAAAGCGCGCGTGCATTTTGGTTTCGATGCAGACCGAGTTTCCTTTTTTTCATATTTGGTCATTCTAAGGCAGAAAATTACAGAAGATGGACAAAGGAGAGCTCGCTTATTCATGTAGGCACTTCAACCACTAGCAAAGCGTGTGTCGCGTAGAAACAGCGTTACGGCATCTTGTGAACACGTTTTGGATAAAGACATCTTGTCTTGTGCAAGACACAGCAAAAACGTTTATTAATTCTGGTGCCAACACACGTATACAAAAGGACCTTTTGGTAGACCATTCGTTGTAGCTGAATTTGTGCGTGATTTCTGTTTAAAACAACTCAACTAACTACCACAACGAACGCATATGCCAACTCCAGAATTGGACTGTTTCAAATCGTTCGCTATTTTTAATTGCATTTTGAATCGCATGCAATTTCCCAATGCCGGACTGAGACGCGTAATGTTTTGGCAAAATCGTTTTTTTATTTTGAACATAACCGACCACTAGTATACCACAAAGTACTGGTTAAGCGTCGTTATGAAAAAGTCGTGGATATATGTTACGATGGTGCGCACTACGCCTCACATATATCATGGTAGGTTATGTCATATACTGTGATCACTCTCATGAGATATGCCAATGACTGCTTGAAAACGACGCCCAACCATTTTCTCGTGACATATCAAGGGCGGTTATTTTTTATATAAAAACCAAAATACCGAAAAACGGGAGCCTTTTATGTCCATCGTTTGTTCTTCAAGTAGTTGATAGTTCGTCCAAACGCTTGGTTGCGTTTCTGATTGCATATATCAAATGGCTTTGTCCCGGTTCTACATTTCACTCCGCGGCCAAATCTATAGTTCGTATTAAAGTAAGGGCTGTGGGCTATGGTCACTTATGACCAAGGTTTTTAGAGGATCTTTCCGATATGTTGTGCAATTGCGCCAAAAATTTTTAGCCAATAACAGACTCATCTCAAGTGTTTTTTCATCAAAAACGTGTTTCTAGTGTTTTGATTTCGGAGTATCGGCAGTTTTTGAGGAATACTGCACGTGCGATCAGCGGCTTAGGCGGGCGAGCGGACGTCAAGGGATTATGTGGCCGCGGAACGCGCGTGGCGGGCCGACATTGTTACATTAACGGAGCCATGTATCATAAATATGTGCCCAAAACGCACAAGATGTACATCATAGCGCCCAAAAGTGAATAAAAAACACGCCTGTTTAAGTTTCGTGTCGCCGCGCGATAGCGTCTCGTCGGTATGATGTTGAGCTGAAAAAGTGCAGTTTTCTAGAAAATATAACCTATGACGAGACATAATGGAATCGAATAATTATTCAACAACATAAAATTGGTGTCAACCAGCATGTCGTTAAGACAAATCCACTGGTGTTTTTCACTAGCGCTATCTTCATAAGCCTGGAAACTCCACGGAGGCTATATTGACCCACCTATCAGTCCGTGTTATCAAAAACGGCAAATGCGGGCGAGGGTCAACTTGACATATGTTAAAATTACTACCCCATCTGATGTTGTTTTGATTATAATGTGTGCATGGTAGTGATATCTCAGTCAATTAGTAGGATTCCCTCAGCCATGCTTGACCAAAGCATCTTGAAGTTGGTTTGTAACATTACTTGAAGTCCTAATGGTTAGTTAATTGTGGGTATGATGCGGGTTGTAACTGTGCACGAACTGTGCTGCGTTCAAACAACGAAATGTTCATCAGTATAATAACGAATCTACCTGGGTGCAATACACATTTGAAATACTAACTGTTTGATGTCCGAAACACTTAATCTTATCGTCTTAGTTTGTCGAAGTGACGTGTCCATGCAGTCGCTTTGACCAGGCGATAGCCGTACCGCGCCAAACAGTTACCCCCTATGCGTCACGCAGCCGTAAGTGACAACGGCCATGACCAGCGGCGGCCTGGCTAGAGTTCGCAGTCCTTATATGGTCCCGGCGCAAACTAAGCACACCAGCTCTCTTTATGGCAGTGACCTCCTACAACCCCACTGTAAGGCCGCCGTCTGCGGCTGAGTAACCTCCGCCGGATGGCCCGCTGTCAGGTCAGAGCCGCGGCCCCACTGCCGAAGCCTGTTCGGATATCGCTTTATGAATAGTCAGTGTCATTATCGTTCGCCGTTGTCTCCGCCCATGCCAAAAGCAAAGCACCTAAACGTTACTTTGAAATATCTATGTCCGACCTATGGGCGGTGTCGCCGGGTCATGTCACTGCAGCGCCGAGCCCGGCGGACCCGAGCCGAGGCGGGCCCGGGCCGGCCGGGCCGGCCGGGAGACTCACCAGTGGCGCTGGATGCGGCCGCCGCTCCTGCCCACCGCCTCAGAGACGCGCACCACACTGTCGCCGCTCCTCTCTGCAACCAGCACGCTGCGTGTGACCAGCTGCAGCATGGCCGGGGCGGCGCCGGCCCTCTGGCCGACGATGACCGCTGGCCGGCGCCCGGAGGGCCGCTCAGTGACGCCCCCCTGGCGGCTCGCGCGTGGGGGGGGGGGTGCTCCGCCGGGCGGGGGTGGGAGCGGGGTGCGTGCGGCGGCACAGCACGCGGCGACACACGCGAGGCACCGCGCGGGCCGTCCACGCTGTGGGCGGTGCGGTACCGCAGTGGCCACCTCGCCTCGCCTCCGGACGGACACAACAGCGCAGGGTCGACACTCGGGGACAACTGCCGATCGTCCCCCTCAAAATCACAGCGGAACTTCTCTAATCCGAGTTTGTAGAAGTCCATAGGAAGCTGGCCGTAGTCAATAATGGCGTCGCAAGTTCCAAAATTTTGGCCAAGTTAAATGAACAAAGTTGGGCAGCGAGCTTCCCCAACTTTCGGGTGGGTGCAACTTCGGCCGAAAAGTTTGGTCGATAAAATTTTTCTATTGCTCCAACTTTTCATTGTGAAACTTTGTTGTATAACTAGTTAAAAAGAGAGCGGGAAGTAAGGCGCACTTACCGCAGGAACAACGTCGGCGGGCAGCCGCCCAGTGCGAGGGCTGGCGGTAATGTCTCGGGGCCCCGGCCCAAGTGATATTGATTCAAACTTCGCCACGCGCCACGGGCGCGCGCAAAAATCCCGCCAGACGCGCTAATTGGTGGACGGTCGGCCCGGCCGACGAGACTCCGCCCCCACCTGGCCGCCACCGCCCGGGCGGCTGCCACGCCCCCCCCCCCCCCTGCATGGCACGTGCAGTCCGTGCACGGTGCACGGTGCCTTGCGAGGGCGGTCGGGAGGTTCGGTGGACCGCGGCCATGGGGCACGCCGGCTGCTCCCTGGACCGCCCGGCCGCGCGCTCGACACACAGGCAACTTTTAATAGTTCTGTAAAATTTATTCCCCAAGTTGCATGCAGTTTCTTCTTAGTTCCACTACTCGAGCCACTAACTTTTCACCACGAGTCGAAGTATGACTATTACCTTCGCGACGAAATAGGGCCTAGTTCAGCGACAAAGTTTAAAAAATTAGACTTTAGTGCACCTGCGAGGACCATGCGCCATTGGGTCGACGGACTGACGAGCTGCTGTTTCTCGGAGGAGTTGGGTTGGCTCGGCCTGATTTCCTGAGGCGGTTTGTTGCTGGCCCCGTTAGCTTGTGCTACCGTTGTGGCGTCACCCCGGAGAGGACGCAATGCTGCTTCGTCGACCGGAGCCACGTCTTGTTGGCTGTTGGTGGCGAGTGGGCCTGCCTATGATGGCTGTAACCTGTGAGACTGCCATCTACCGCTCTAGTTAAAGGGGTCCTTATCATGATCTTTAGTTCTCGTGTTTAAATGGCCCAGCCAAGGTCCGGTATCTATATAACATATGTATTATCGTTCCAGTTCGTTATGTCTCACGTGCCTTCGCAGCTTCGGTTTCAACCTCCTGCGCATTATCTGAGCGTCTTTTTTCGCTTCAGAGATAACCCTCTTGAAGTAATATAGATTACAATCGCCCAACACGTTGTTGCAACACATCAATAACATGGGTAAGGTTGAGTCAATTCAAATGTGATAAATGGCGTGAAGAAATATGCAGTTGTCAAACGGAGTGAGCTCAAGTACGGCTTTGAACAGCACAATTGTCACGCCCGCTTACGTTGGTAACTTGGAGACAAGCTGACTGGCTTATGTATTTTGCAAATCGGATGAGTGCAGAACCACAAGTTTAGGGGCTGTCTCTTGCCGGTAGTTTGCAGGTGAATATCCAACATTGCTAATGATAACGGAGGAAAACGACGTTTGGACTGGTCGGGTGCGGAATTTGGTCTGTGTCATTGAATGCGTTACAAAGTGCTGCTAACGTTCACTCAGATTGCAAGTGTTTTGGAGTAGCTCTGAAGCTGTAGATTACGACCTCAGAGTCACCCAGAAACGTTTGACGAGCTTTGAAAGCAAACTGAAAATGATAAAGACCAAAGGACATTTGTATTCGATGACTATCAATTTTGTACTTGATATAAGAAAAGGGGCACTCATCCCCAATTTTTCTTGTCGAGAGTCGAGTTTCTTGTCTTGTCGAGTTTCAAGTTCGTATGTCGAGTTGGCCACCTGCACTTATCAGTATGTGCTAGTTAAAAGACGTTTATCGGGCACCTCCTGGTGTAACAAACGTCGTTTACTGAAGACAAAAACTTCGAAGTCACTATGCAACTTTGTTTGGCCCTGCAAAAAATAATTGTATTGCTATTTTTCCTTGTTGATGGATGAAGAGGGAGTTAAAATGGGCAAATATATATTAAATTTTCGGCCACAAATCTCGATGGAATTGATATAATTAGGGACAAGCAGTAAATTCCAGCCTGCGCTATGTTCCTATTTGATTTTACGAACAATGCTTTGACGGAAAACCACAGTTTTCACATATAATCATCATTCCGCGACTACACGGACAGCAACTGCCAGCCGCATTTTCACTTGTAGCTCTATCATTAATTGTATCTACTTGAGGGTAACAAATGTTAAAATAGACTTAGTGCAAGCAAAATGTCAAGTTAGCATGATTTACGCATAGAAGAAAATGTCAACATTTAGAGACATTGAAGCAAACGTCAGATATGATGAAATAGGCACGCTTATAGCTATTGGAATACTTTTAAGGGGGAGAGACCACTCTAGACGACACAATTTCTCTGTTCAGAAAATGTGCTCCTTAATACGTCATTGTTTATGTCATCATACCTTGCACAGCATCGAATGAGAGCCAAGTGAGGGTAGTTATATTTGGAATTCGTTTGTGTTCACGAACGCCAGATATGAATGACGCGCAAATTTAGTTTTGGTCTTGATCAAGGCATGACCAATGGAATGGCGGGAAGTCAGTGACATTTTTATGGCGTCATGGATGCTTGGGTGACCTTGAAACAGTCCCGCCGAAAAAGTCCGCACATCTTCTTGGGCGTGTAGCTTAGAAACTAGAGACGTTTAAGTCTCAATTATGGCAGGGCTGTGAACTACACCGAATATGACCTTCAAGGTGGCTCTTTCAGTTCAAAACCCCATACATATGTGAAACACTCCACTTAAGGCAGCAGTGACACCCGTATCATCGGCCATTCTGAGCCCTGCGCGTTCAGGTCTGGTTACCGACCCTTCATCAGCAAACATTCAGCAGTTTTACTATCAGGATAGTCCTGCGCTCTTCATATTATTTATTGTGCTGTTTTGATGAAGGTGTGTGGCCGAAATAACAATAGATCTCTATTCTTCACTTCCCCTGTATCCAGCAAAGAGGCAAAAAGCCAATGGAACTTCTTCTTTTCAGTCCCCAGTGATGAATAAGGTCAATAAAACTGCTGTTATGCAAGAGTAATGTTATACACAGTTGTAGTGAAAAACTTGCGCATTTTTTATTGGTGACACCAATACAACTTCTTATTATTATTATTGGGAGCACTCTTCAAGCACGTAAGTTGTTAAGTGCACCTGCGATGAACGTTATTCACGTAGATAAAACAGTAGTAATAGTCTTATTCCTCGGAGAAAAGCCAGAAGAGTGGAGCTATAGAAACATTTGATACTTCGGCAAAATGCCTTGATTAAAGCAATAGCAGAAGTGAATTCAAAGTAGTCTGCCGATGATCCTACTCCATTTTCAAGCTATGTTTTACACAGGGTGCCACAGTTTTTACAGGACACCAACATTCAGGGGATTAAACAGGCTTTTGCGTTACGCTTTTACGCCGAGCTTTTCCGTTACGATCCTCGTGTTAGCGTTATAAAATGATGAGTCAGAAATGCCACAAAATGCAGATGAGTAATGACCGTTAACAAATAATGGCAATAGTAATGGCTGGCCTTTGCTCCCTGTTTAACCTCCTGAGCGTTAGTGTCCTATAAAAACTATGGCTCGCTGTTTCAACAAAAACAAAACAAAACAACTGAAAATCGAGGAGAAGCATCGTCCGACAACTTTGCGTTTACCTCTGCCATTGCTTTGATAAAGACATACCGCCGAAATATCAACGCATCTATGTCTCTATTCTCCCGGTTTTTTCTCCGAGGAATAAGTCTATTACTACTGTCTTATCTATGCTCTTCAAACACCGAGCTTTTGCGTCATGATCTTGGTCTTAGTGTTGTCAAATGATGACTTGGAAGTACCACAGAATACTGAACTGGGCCATTATTAGTTAAGAGTTCTCAGGATGGCAATAATTTACATTTAGTATACCGGGGGATACTGGTCGAGCGACGTTTTTATGCAAGCATTGGTAAAACTGCTCAAGCGTAACGTCTCACGCTGTGCTCATGGACACGAGACTCTTGAATTGAGCACAGCTTAAAACGTGAAGTTCTGACGAAATAACTAAGTGTGCCTGATAAAGTCGTTTCCCCAACGCCTCCTGGTATTTCGAAAGTCGGCTTATTGTCAACGTAAGAAACAAAACTCATGATTCCGAAATAACACGAGCTCAAAATAGAACTGCAATAGCTTGCGAAACATTTTGCAGATGACACTCTTCGATAACGTTATGACCAACCCGATTTTTACACTAAAAAAAATTCACTCCCCTTACACCCTCCATCTTTGCATCAGATTCTTCATGTGCTTTTTAGTCTGATGCAAGTTTGTCACCGAATATAAGAGATAGTGCCTCATGACATAAATGTAGGATTCTGCTTTTTCAAGGACAGGAATAATCTCGTTAAATGCTTCTTGAGCTCCAGAAAAGCTGAAGATCTGCGACGTGGTTATTGTTGCTCTCTGTTTTTGATCGTAATGTGATGGACAAATAGTTACCACAGTGGAGAAAACATCAGATTCTCCATTGCAGCAGACAAATGTAGGCGAAGCGCTCTGATATTCGAATAAATATTGATCAAAGCAATGGTTTTGGAATTCGCTTATCAGTTTTGATGATATCAAAAACATATTTATCGTTTATCATAAATGTCGATGAGTTTACGTATATTTGCACAGGTTGAAGTAAAATTAGATTAACCTAA